GTCAGTAGTGGCGGGTGTTACCAAATGCGTTCTGTTTGCAACGCCATCGGTGGCATGTACCATTCCTCCCACAATGTACACGCAATGTGTACAATGCCGCTAAGCGGCCAACTTATGCTATGTATTCTGCTAAGCCGCTATAGGCTTATCAGTTTTATAGCCACTTATCATACTGGCCCTTGACCCTTAGGCAATGGTGGCTCCCATCGATGCTCAAAGTTCACGTTGCTGACATAGCGTTAGTTATTCACGACCAGCCGCCTGAGTATGTTCCGTAGATGACTCATCATTCATTGTCCATAGCACCGTCAACGCTCATGCAACTTACAGTCCTCATCGATCAACTAAAATGCTCCTCATCGCTATAATGTTGAAATCTTAGCTTGGCCGAAACACGGCCAGTCTGTAACCCTCACCACCTCACTATACTGTCTCCCTCTCCGCGGCATACAGTCTCCTCCCTCCGCCCCCAGCATACTGTCTCCTCAGCCGCCGCGCCCCGCCGCGTCTATTCGCGGCATCGCTTACGGCTAAGCAAAGGCTACTTTGTTGTAATCTCATTATTATTGTTAATATTGTGTTAATGGTATAATAATGTTTGAATGCCATTGCCTCATTGTTTAGCCTCACTTCACTACAGGCCTTAACACCTCAGAGCTCTAACTTGTGTTATTCCTCTACCATTACTTCTCTATCGTTACTATCATGTTATTAGTGTTGTGTTTATGTATTAAAGGTTTAATTACCCAAGTTTGAGGCTGTTAGATCAACTACAACAACTAAAAGACCCGCGTGGCTAATATTCTACATCAATCTGAACCGCTACACTTCGCCACTAACCATTTCGTTACACCCCGCGCCCATGGCCACCAAGCCGTCCATCCCTCCGGAATCGGCAAATTGGTACCAGACCAGATAGCAGTACTGGCTCAACACATCGGTAGGCCACCGCGAATCATTGTAAAGGCCAGATATGCATTCAATCACCTTCAAACGATGCTTAATGAAGTCGAATGCATGGAGCATACTTAAAGGGATTGATCAACGCCGAGAGCTCTATTCTTTATCTTTCAACCAGTCGTTTTAGTCCATTCAAGCAAAATAAAACGAATATGGAACGTTTCTTAACAAACGTTTCTAGTATGTGAAAACGAGGTATTCGTCGAAGACCATTGCCAACGGACAACGCTGAAGAAAGCGACTCCAATTTCGGTTATCTAAATTCGTTGATCAGAACTGAAAAAGAAGACTCGGCTATCATCACAGCTATCATTATTGGCTTCATTTCTTTCGTCGGTTTGTGTGTCTCCATTAAAGGAAACATACAATGATATCGAAGGAAAAAACTTACAATAGCAAATCATGAAGACATTGATGTTTTCCGGAACCACTACATGGAAAACTTCAAAATCTCTATAACAGCATCCCGAATTCAGCTAGTGAATAATCTTCCTTATCGAGTTTCATTGCTAGTTTTCATCTCTATTTTTCGTATTTAGATTTTCATGATGTGGAGAGCAAAGGAATCATCATGGCCGATGGATTATCCTTTCTTCATCGGTGAACATTAACCAAACTCAGTTGAGTGTCAGCAGCATAATTCCTGAATAGAACATTGATTAGTGGTCGAGCTATCGACCAGCATCCGATTTCCATGGCAGAGTTCGAATTCATAACTGAATAGTCTGGCGAATTTCTATACGAATAGAACATGGATATTAGGATACAACCGCATTAGGATCGAACCCAGAAGGATGGAAGATTTGGTGAGCCAGGAGTGCGTGTGGGGAAGTAGTCGGAGGCGCTTTGCAACACGTGGATTAGATCCACGCGCCCACAGCTCACCAAGCCTTCCATCCCTCCGAGGTCGGCAAATTGGTACTAGGCTTGTCTGGAAGGATAGCAGCCCTGGCTCCGCTCAATACATCGGTGGGTCACCATGAGTTATTGTAAAGGTTACATTCACCTCCAAACGAAAAAAGATGCATTCAATCACCTCCAAACGATACTTAATGAAGTCGAATGCATGGCGTATCCCTCAAAGATTGATCAACGCCGAGAGCTTTACCTTTTTTTAACCTCATAAGAGCAGACAGCGCTGATAAGTTAACTGTTGAAACAAAGTGAAAAGGTTGTCGAATAACTTATGGAGTTACAAGGAGTGCAATAGGAAAGCGCGGTTTTTCTAATTATCGCTGTATTGTTCGGTTCACTCCCACTTTTGCTATAACTCCATTACTTCTACACATCCGCTATGTTCTTAGATTACTTCTGCGTGATGAAAAAAAACTCGCCGATTATCAAACTTTGATCTAACTTGCTTTCTGCGTGGTTTTACGTGATAGTTGAAGTGTATTTCTGCCTTTATTTCATGTTTTTTTTAATATTCCCTCCTAATTCCATTAGACTGTAAGAAAATACTTCTTGTGCTTCTTGCAAGCATGGCTGAGAAGACCTATTCATAAACCAGTCCCAGTATAAAATCTGTGTCTAACAAGCCAACGATTGACTACAAAGGGTCGCCGAAGTGTTATGTGAACACAAAGTTATGTTTTTCAACCCAATTATCATTTAAGTTCGGTGTTATTAATCAATAGCCTTAATTACTAAGTTAACACGAAACTCTTAAAGAGGTAATTCTTCGTATTCTTGTTGAATAAACGCGAGATGCTACTTTGTTCTTTATTCACGAACAAGCTGACGTTTCGGCGGATTTCGCCTTTCTCAGAGCCTGGAAAGGTCAAGTTGACAGCAATCTATTCGGCCAAACACCTCCATAACCAAACACAGAAAACGCTAAACCAAGATTTTCAATCACATTTAGCATAGCTCTGCGCACTCACCGCTTCCTATGAGTCTTCCACTGAGTACGTCGCGTGGAGACCAACCGAACAAAATTCACATGGAAGCGTAATGTGCCCCTCCCATCGGAATAACAGGCTTATATACTGCGCAATATCACGCGTGATAATGAGGCATTCTTCCCTCCGGTCCATTTTCGGATTTCTGGAATTAATCCAGAACGCCTCGAAAGTTTTGCGCGTTTGTACTCTCGATTCCTGTGCAAGGATCGTGAAACGTACTTCAAAGTCCTCCCCATTATGTCTCTGGGTCCTATGCGTGCTTAGTGGGGCATTTGGTTAACGTTTGCTGGCTAGGTGTTCTTTTATACCGACACAGAGGGGTCTGCCCGTTCCGCCAATATATTCGTCTCCGCACACCTTACAGGAGATCAGATAAACTGCACTCGAGCTCACCCAATCACCGTCTCTACTATTAGGGCAAATTATGCAATTTTGTCTTGCACATAGACGGTCATACAGGCGGTTACGAACTAACTGGCGCCTAAGATTACTCGGTGGCATTTCAACTACGTTTACAGAATTCTCTAGACCAGCCGTTCTTAAACAGCGTTTTATAGCTGCACTTACATCATTTGAGTTGAAGGGTAGGATAAACGGGACCTTTCTATTGCTAGAGTTGTCGTTTTGGGGCCTAGGATTTCCCCTACACCTATTCCGAGCTACAGTTTCGTAGCCATTATAAATGGATCTTTGCCGTGCCAAGTTCCTGGACTTCTCTCTGTGCTCCCTTCTCGTGCACACGTTGCTTGCTGTTCGAAACATGTTTCTTACAAGCGCCCTTTTTGTGTGAGAGGAGAGGTAATGAACCAAGATGTTTTTACTACTTGGTTTTTGGTACCACTTCGTAATGTAGCCATTTTCTGACAGGTTAATTTGGACGTTCAGGAATGGAAGCCATTTTTCTTTCGGTTTCTCTCGCGTGAACTTCATATACTCTGACTGTGCATTCAACAACTCGAAACATTTGTCCATTTCCTCTTGTGCTGATCAAAGGACAAAACAGTCAGCTATATATCTACAGCAGAGTAGCGGCCCGAGATGTGATCAGTCACCGGTGCTTCCATCTTAGATATAAACGCAATGGCAAGACTTGATGCCAGTCGTTGTCCCATTGGCAACTCTCTTATTTTAGCGTAGCACTTTCCGGACCATCTGAAGATTGAGCAGCTCAAGTTTTTTTTCAAGAGTGCCATCAGGTGCTCTATCTTGAAGCCATACATGTTTATTTCTCCTTCGTGTTTTATAAGGAGTTCGAATATGGCTTGCACTGCGGAGTCATTCGATACGTTTGTATAAAGAGCAGTAACGTCGAAGGACTCCATCACGTAAGCGCTGCTGGGTTGCGCAGTACGTAGACGATGCAGAAACAACTGGGTATTCGCAAGATCGGCTGGAATGTGTTTCAACAACTAAGTAAATATTAGGGTTAAAAACCACGTTATCCTATCCGCTCGCCCGTCTACACAGCTAATGATAGATCTAACCTTAAACAATAATGGGTCGTTAGAAGCAGGATTGCCGGTAGATACTAACTTGTGAGTTTTTATAAGCAGCTATAAAACGAGACATATTGATAAGTCAAGTTTTAGTTGAGAGATAGCTGATGGTTTTAAACCAGCAGCCCTTACCATTTTGGCCTATTCGTGGTTCAATTCCCGGTATTTACTTTTGAATTCCTCCTCAGATAATGGGCGATAAAGCGAAGCATCTTCAAGATGCTTTTTCGTTGTCTCCACATCTAGCTGATGGGGAATTACGACAAACTCTCCACTCTTATCACTAACGGATAGTCCTTTGTTTTTCAGCCTTATCAGCTCTCGTACCTCTCGCATACCACGTTTTTCCGCGCGATAGTGATTAAGGACTTTGAAAGTTTCATTCGTAAACATCCGAAATTTAACATCAACTCGCCGGCTATACCTTTAAAAGGAAAAAATCTCAGACCAGCAGAGGACGCCGCGCACGGTCATCCTGCTGAAGAAAGGAGACCGAAGGGATATTCGTAACTATCGTCCCATATGCTTGTTAAGTGTACTCTACAAGCTCTTCACAAAGATTATCCGCTCGCTCATATCAAGGACATTGGATGGAGCGCAACCAGTCGGGCAAGCAGGATTTCGAAAAGGATTTTGCTGCATGGACCACATTCAAACCGTATCCAGGGTCATCGAACATTGTTGGGAATACCACTTGCCTCTAGTCCCAACCTTTGTCGACTATGAGAAAGCGTTTGAGAGTGTCGAAACGAATGCAATTCTACCAGCGCTCGTCGACCAAGGCGTTGACCCGTCCTACATAAGAACTCTGTCCGACTGTTCGCGGAACTGCACTACAAAAATACAGTTTTCCCATCGATCTCTTACAATACCAATAGGAAAAGGGGTTCGACAGGGCAACACAATATCGCCAAAGCTGTTCAGTGCCGCACCGCAGTGGATAATTGAGTCACTCGATTGGGATGAGAAAGGCATATGCATTGATGGAAAATTCCTATCAAGTCTTCGTTTTGCCGACGACACTGTCATCTTCTCAAAAAGTACTGGCGAAGCAGAGATAATGACCAACCAGTTCAGCGTAAACGGGGAAAAAGATAGGACTGCGCATAAATCGAAAGAAGACCCAGTTCATGAAAGACACGTGGTGTGAAGGCGAAAAGATTGGATTGGATGGCTCTCTCATTGCCGAGACCACCTCGTACGTTTACCTTTTGGGCGATCAATGAGCATGGAAAACAACATGAAGGAGGAACCTGATAGAAGAAGGAGAGTAGCTTGGGCCGCATTCGGGTCTCTCAATGAGGCCACGGAACAACTGAAGGGCCCGAAAATCCGCGCTCATCCCTTCGATTCTACGGTCCTTCCAGCGCTCTGTTATGCTGCAGAGACGTAGATTGAGACTTCAGCTACGTCAAGAATGCTTCGAACTGCTCACAGAACGCTTCAGCGATGTCTTCTGAAATATAACCGGCACTCTCAATATGTAGCCTTAATGCGAAGCTCTGACCTTCGAAATCTGTGACATCTTCGTGATCCAGGAGGATATAAATCGACAGCGAAACATAGATGGGCCGGTCATATAATGAGAAGAACAGACAACAGATGGACGAAAAGAACAGTAGAGTGGACTGCCTTGGACGACCACCTACACGTTGGGTGGACGTGTTCGTAAACAAAATTAATCAGCTGTACCTGCAGCTGCAGTTGTTTTACAGATCACGGTATGAGACTCACAAGCACTACCTTGCTCGAACAAGACCACCACCATGACTGCGATTGCGAGAGAAGGGAACGAATGACATTCGTGCTGGGGTCCGCACAGCTCGTGAAGACGGACCGCCCAAGTATTCAAGTAAGTAAGTATGTTTGGCAGTATATAAGCCTGCTATTCTGATGGGAGGGGCAAATTACACTTCCATGTGAATTCTGTGCGGTTGGTCTCCACGCGACATACTCAGTGGAAGACTCATAGAGAGCGGTGAGTGTGCAAAGAAGCTATTCTGTGTTCAATGTAACTGAAATCTTGGCTTAGCGTTTTCTTTGTTTGGTTATGGGGGTGTTTGGCCGAATAGATTGCTATCAACTTGACCCTTCCAGACTCTGAGGAGGGTAAAATCCGCCGAAACGTCAGCTTGTTCGTGAGTAAAGAATAAAATAACACCTCGCGTTTGCTCAACAAAAATAGAAAGAATTACTTGATGAATGCCGAGGTTAATAGAAACTCGCTCGTGGGATTCTTAAAGAGGTTTTTTGGTCAGTTTCGATATCTTTGCCTCTTTCAGAACCGGTAATCCCAGTAGATGGTCCGCAGTTCTTCGTCTTCACGACGTAGTGTCATCGTCGTCGTATCGAGCGGTCCTGTACTGAAGGAAACTCGGCTCGATACGACTCTTTTGCCGACCTTCTCTCGAATGAGGCGTACTCATCTAGTGATGCTTTTATGTAAAGAATCGTTGTTATAGACAGTCGTGGTGGCCCAGTGATAGTAACTTGCTTATTTCGGGTTGCCGGTTTAGAACAATATTACTAAACTGTGTGCTAACCAACAATATAATGACTTCTGCAGGATTGATTGTCCGGAATAAGCAAGTTATTATCACCGGCCAATCACGACTATCAGTGACAACGGTCCTGCATAAAGGAGCATCACTGGGTGAGAATGCCTTATTCGAGAGATGCTCCCCTAAGAAGATCCGGCACGATCCGATGACGGCGACACCACGTCGAGAAGACAAATGACTGTACACCATCGTCTCGAATCATCGGCTCTGAGCAAGACGAAGACGTTTAAAAGTTAGCCGAATAAATATTGGTAACAACCTCATTTTAGCTAACCAATGAAACAAGGTGTATTGATGGCTTATACCTAGGTTAAATGAAAGTTGGTTTACAGAAAATTTTCTGCCGATAATAGGTAAGAGAGTATTGTCTGAAAATTTGTGAAAGTTGACGTAAACTTTGCTGTTAAATTGTGTCTTCCTCTCTTAAGACTTAGGAACGAAAAACGCGAACTACGGCCGTTGCCACTACCTCCCTTTGTTTTAGCGCTGTCAATGCCAAATTTAATAAGGAGGCGGATAGCGCAGTGGTAGTAATGTCGCTCATCACGATCATGGTGCTAATTTGATTCCTTTCCGGGCCAACCAAGCCTCTCATCCCTCCGGGGTTGTGGGATTGGTACCGGACTTGTCTAAATCACTCACTGCAATCCAATTGGAAACGCTCATGCGCAGCTACCTCAGGCCTCCACGGAGAATTGCTCGACTTTTAACCAAGAATTAACTTCCACGGCACTCTAAGGACCCATCACTGCTAACAGAAATAACAATGTCCAGTGTTCCACAGATTTTTTCTGGATATCAGAAAACAATTAAAGAAAACCGCTATAAAAATCTTTGAGAGCTAACACATACATACATTTTTTTTCTTGTAAATGCCTCGGACTAGCAGAATTACAAGAACCATTAACGCTGTAAATATCGTACACAACCCAAATCGACATCTGTGGAATCGTGAAATTTCTCGATGACAAACGATAAGTGAAACCCACATATTCGCACTCACATCGAGACCGGTTTTGGTGCAAAAGAAACTTTGACACTCAAAAAGCATAAATGATAAAAGGAGAAAACTTCTCGCGTTGACCAATCCGAGGGATACGCCATGCATTCGACTTCATTAAGTATCGTTGGAGGTGATTGAATGCATATCTGGCCTTTACAATGACTCGCAGTGGCTTACCGATGTATCGAGCCAGTGCTGCTATCCTCCAAAACAAGTCTGGTTTCAATTTGCCGACCCCGGAGGGATGGAAGGATTAGTGGGCCCTGGGCGCAGGGATCGATTTCACGTGTTTCGCAGTGGCGCCTCCAACCACTGCGCCACAAGCCCCCTTCTAAAACATAAAGACACTCATAATTCAATTGTCATTCAGAATAACCAAGAGTGAACATGAAACGTATTCAGTTGGTTTCGCCGACAACGTCCGCCTTACAACCCTGCTAGGCTTGTGGTTTCTTGCGATTGTTTTTGCTCTAAAATGTCTTATTCGATTGCGATTTCTCCTACCAGTAAAATAGAGAGCCTCTCGCTTTTCTGCCGATCAAAGCAATCTTCATTTTTCAAATTACTGACATCTTGCATTATATTTTACCTGTGTCGTTTTCCATTCATAGTATAGTAACTATTCCTTAAATAGTTCCTATTCTTATGTTACCTAATATGTTCTACAATAACTGCCTACATGTAATCGTTATACGTCCATTCTCACATATTCTGTGAACTGTCTCTCAACAACCTCGTAGCTAGGCTAGAAGGAGATGCTGTAACTTCTTTGTATCTCCGCTCTTCTTTGCTCGTTGATTCGGACGCTGAATAAGCCGCCGCCACCTGCATGCACTTTCAAGATATCGGCAGTTCCGATGCACTTTCTATGTAACTCTTTGTACAAGAAATTGTACTGGCTCAAAAAGTACAAAACCTCTCTTTGAGCACTATCTCTGATCCCCTCTGTAAAACTCCACCCATTACAGACAGAATATAAGGACCAGAATATAAGGACCACCATTAGTCATCAAGACCAGTGCTTATCCTCCAATCCACCAGTGTGTCTTCCAATCTATCAGTGCCCCAACTCCAGTGTCCGCCTGGCTTCCTTCAAGTGTACTTGTTCCCATTTCAATCTCGCCCGTATTCACCCACTTTACATATCGTCAAATATCACACATTATTATTGTATCGTTGTTGTTGCTATAAACTGTTATATCCAAACTCGAGGTTCTTCAAGACAGTTAAGGAGTAAAGTCCCGCGTGGCGAATTCATACAAAGTCGAGCATTCCACGTACAGTTGGCGGACAAAAGTCAAATCCGACCAACTTCCTAATCCACTGGCCAACTAACACACATAGCAAGGTTGACGAACTGTCTGCCTTGAATTTCTACTTGAATTGTCAATTTATCCGAGATTTCATTCTGACGATCTCTGATGTGAAGCGTTATGTCGAACGTCGTCGTCTCAGATCGCTTTATTGCAGAACTAAGGAACTGAAGCGCCTTTACTATTATGTATATGAACTGATAGTACCACCGTAACCAGTTCACACGCGCCATTTTTGAATATCTGTTTATTCACATATAACTCGAAAGACCGAATTTCAATAAACCTCGTCATAAATAGCTGATACATTTATTTATATGATCTTATAAACCGATCTTGTTAAGTTGATGCGACGTTGGTATAGGTCTTCGGTGTCGTTGCTGTTGGTGTTGTTGGTCCATGGCTGACGTTTCGGCGATTTCGCTTTCCTCAGAGCCGTGCTGTTATGAGTAGGTCTGCCTATTCACATATGGTATTCAATGCATGCATACTGATACCAAGTAAGCAGACGACATATTTATTAATATGCCCTTATAAACAGTTCCTATTGAGCTGATGCGAGCTGACTAATACCAAAGTTCTCCCTGTCGTTGCTGTTGGTGTTGTGGGTCGATGGCTGTAACGTCTCGGTGATTTCTCCTTCGCCAGAGCCTGGAAGTATTTTTATAACAGTATCCTCATATTTGGTAAAATATCTCTGTTATTAATGAATATCAAATATATAAATGAAAGTCATATTGATCAAGAAGACTACTCACTGTGCTGTTACGAGTGGGACAGCCCACGAGTTGTTCACGTGTGACTGAATTCGAATTGGGATTGACGAATGTTGACGAAAGATGAGAATGTAAAAATTCGTCAAAGCATTCCTCTAGGTACACATAGGGCACAACAGCACAACGGCGATGATTTTGAAGTGAATGTCCTGATCCTAGCGCAGGATTCGAAAAAATCAACGCGACCCTTGAGGCGTTTTGGATAAATTTCAAAAATCCCAAGATGAACAGGAAAGATGAATGCCTCACTCTCACACGTGATCTGGCGCTTTATTTCGAAATGATATTTTGACCTCTGGGTGGGTTATGCTCGCGATCCTACGTAACAACGCGTGGGCCAATACCTGTCGTAATAGCACTGTGAGTGGCCTTTTTGATCAATATGGCGCTTATTTGAAAGTTTGACCTTAATTAGAACTATAAATAGTTCATCGAATATAAGGCTACTGTTATATAAAATACGTCCAGGTTCTGAGGAAGGCGAAATCGCCGAAACGTCAGGCGTCGCCATCGACCAACAACACCAACAGCGACGATAACATCAGCAACAACGACAACGAAGCCCTATACCAATCTCGCATCAGCTCAACAAGAACAGTTCATGAGAACATATAAATAGATATATCAAGTATTTGTGACGAGTTTTATAGGAAGTCGGCCTTTTGAGTTCTTAAGCAGACGACAGTAATTTGAAATAATGGAGACTTCAGAGTACAGCGATCGCGTCTCACTTCTTATCTTGCTCGCCGGCTGAAATTTGGGTCCGATGTGACAGGACTCAAATCAAGCCAGCAAGCCACTTGGAAGTAGCGAAATCCTATATCCAGGAAGAGCGACGATGAATTAGTGTTATCAATCGGAGTATTCAGCTGTATCATCTGTAGTCCCGTTGATCGTCGAGTGACTAGAGCAGGCGCCAGTAAATCTTCCATTTTTTCCTGTTGCAGGCAAGAGTAGCCCAGTGGGTTCTGCTCGCTCTAGGGACTGGTCGGGCATCATATCTTTCTTCAAGGCTCCTTGTGAAGAACACTGAACATCGGGTCGATGCTCTTCCTGCAGTACGTTTGACATCCCGAGGAATCTAGTCACTAACGGCTCTTGTCCATCGGTTGTCATTCGTGCACACAACGTTTCCGGCCCACCACATCTTTCACTGTTTGACGTACAGAACGGCATCTTTGATTTTTGATCGTTGACGCAGATCGGAGCTTTGGACCCTATCCCTTGTGTGGAACGGGACATTCCTAGCATCGTCCTTTCGACCGCGCGTTAGATAACGCTGAGTGACCTTTCATCCTGCTTATGCAGCGACCAGATTTCTAACGCATATGTTAGGGCAGGAAGTACCGTTGAGTCGAATAGATGGGCACGGAGTCGAGTGTTCTTTGTTCTCCTCACTACATACTCGATGCTCTTGAAAGCTCCCTAAGCCACTTCTGCTCAGCTCTGGAGCTAGGTCGTTCATCATATTGATTTCCCAACCTAAATAAATATGGGACAGCGATTGGCACCAAGCCTGGCCATTGTGTTTATGTCTAAGATAGAAGCCCCTGTTCTCGATCTCCGGCCACTACTCTACTGCAGATATGTAGATAATTGTTTTGTCGTCTTCTCTACGCAGGAGGAGATGGACAAATGCTTCGAATTATTAAACGAGCAGTCCGAGTACATAAAGTTCACCCGGGAGAAACCGAGAGAAAACTGGCTTCCGTTTTTGGACGTCCAAATAAACCTATCAAGTAGCGGTTACCTGACAGAGTGGTATCGAAAGCCAAGTAACAAGAACATCCTTGTCCATTTCCTTTCTTCCCACCCTTCACACACAAAGAGGGCGATTGTGAGAAACATGTTTCGAACAGCCACCTCTGTGTGCACTACTAGGGAACTAAAGGAAGAATCGCGCGACTTGGCCCGGCAAATAGCCATCTCCAATGGCTACGAAATAGTAACCCCACGAGATAAGTTTACAAGGAGAACGACGCGCCCAAGCGAAATACTTGGGCAAAACAAAATCCCGTTTATGTTGCCTTTTATAAGCGATGAAGTAAGCGCAGCTATAAAACGATGCTTAAGAAGGGCAGGTCTAGAGGAATCGGTAGCGATAGTTGAAATACCACCGACTACTCTACGTCGCCAATTACTTCGCAACCGCCTGTATGACCGTCTGTGTGAAACAACAAATTGCGTAATTTGCCCGTACGGCAGGGACGGTGATTGCATGAGTTCAGGTACGATATACCTGATCTCGTGTAACAATTGCGGAGATGAATATATTGGCGAAACGGGCAGACCTTTGTGTATCCGTATAAAAGAACACCTAGATGGCAAACGAAAACTAAGACGAAGCACCCCACTAGGCACACATAGGATACAAAAGCACAGCGGAGACGATTTTGAAGTAAAAGTCAATATCCTTGGAGTTCAAAACACCAGCGCGAAAACTCCTAGAGGCTTTTTGGATCAATGCCAAAAACCCTACAATGAATAGAACATAAAATAAAACAGACCAAATACCCCGCTAGGCACGCATAGGACCCAGAGACATAACGGGGACGACTTTGAAGTATGTGTCACGATCCTCGCACGCGAATCAAGAACACAGGCGCGAAAAACTCTCGAGGCATTCTGGATTAATTCCAGAAATCCGAAAATGAACCGCAGGGAAGAATGCCTCATTATCACGCTTGATATAGGGCAGTATATAAGACTGCTATTCTGATGGGAGGGGCACATTATACTTCCACGTGATTTCTGTGCGGTTGGTCTCTACGTGACATACTTAGTGGAAACCTCATAGAAAGCGGTGAGTGTGCAAAGCTGTGTTCAAAGTGATTGAAATCTTGGTTTGGAGTTTCTTTGTTTGGTTATGGAGGCGTCTGGCCGAGTGGATTGCTGTCAACTTGACCTTTCCAGGCTCTGAAGAAGGCGAAATCCGCCGAAACGTCAGCTTATTCGTGAATAAAGAACAATAACACCTCGCGTTTGCTCAACAAAAATACGAATAATTACTTGATCAATGCCGAGGTTAATAGAAAGTCGGTCGTGGGAGTTTCTACAATTCTTGTCAACTGTAAGTGCTAAGTTTGTGAAAATGGTCCTTTAACTACAATTACCATGACTTTTTGTCGCCTAAACTTTGCTTCCGTTCCACCTCTTCACGCTGCTTTGTACTAGGCTCTGCAATTTTCTGTTTTTGTTTCACCCTAGAACAATAGAAGCTAAGGCCTTTGGTTGGCTACAGAGACAGTTCCAGAATCTAGACCTCCATATTGCCATGGAAATGAAGAAAAATTAGCAAAGCATATCATTGCAGAATCCATTGCTCAGCAAATGGTAATCAGATAAAATAAGACTCAATTTAGCGTGTAAGCAAGTTTTCTGTCCATTTGTTAAAATGATTCTCTTATACATTCCAACGAATTCACAGGGACATCTAAAGGCGACTGTATACCGCACTACGACACTAGTAATAAAACTTCTGTTGGTGGCTTTAAATCACTGATAACGCTGTCAAAACCGCCGATAAAGTTGATGTTGCCTACCGGACAGCTAATCAGGCATAAAAGGCAGCGAAACATCGGACACAATAGATTGTTTTCATCATTTTTTGATTTGTTTATCGATTCAGCTGTAGTAAAATGATGTTTAACTGTGTCAGCCACACAGTTTTGCTTATTTATATACGTAGCCGTTAACTCCTACTTTTCATTAAGATGGTTTCTAAGCAAGTTTTCTGGCGAACGACACAAAAACTCACTGATTTGGCCCGTGTTGAGTTTTATGACAGACGCATCGACTTCCCAAGCACATCGAGACGGAGCTGGAGTTCGGCGTGAACCACTGCTCGATCTGAACATGAAAGCCATGAAAGTTTGTGGACCGATCTTTTCGAAACGGTGAATGGAGGACAGGATAAAGCATCCAGCGTTGATCAATCCCTTTGTGACACACGGAACACTCGATTTCATTAAGAATCGTACAGCTAGCGAAGTATCAAACAGTGTATTTCATCATTTCATACAAGCTAACAAGGGAAGGATGAAAGGCTTGGTTAGATCAGGGTTGGAAATCTAATCGACGACCATGTGTGTTTTGTTTGACACCTCTAAAATCTCCACTGCACACGCTAAGAGATATTAAGAAAAGATATATAACAGATACTCGGAGCCTCAGGTGGGCTTCGAACTCGGATCCGAAAATTGGCGGAAGGAACGGCAAAGCAATGGCCTCGGCTGGTGCGGAGTATATCACGTGAGTCCTCAGGATAATCGCTGGTTCGAAGACCATTTGAGCTCCCGAGTTATCTCTCAGCATCGCTGTAGTTCTACTCTACATAATAGCCTGCCATGAAAAAAGAACAGGCCGTAAAAAAAAGTTAAGCATTATTTGCTCCATTGTTTCTCGTGATTTGAGTAGGCTTGGTTCGGTGAAGAGATTAATTTCCAGAACATGGCAGTATGGTACTTGATACTTGAACGGCCCGTCCTCACTAGTTGTGCGAGCCCTAGCATAATCACCATTTTTCGGAGAATTGCCGGTTAAACCACTATGGTTCCCTGGAATCCCGAGGATAGCCTGGCCAAAGTCTGTCCCAGGTCGCCACGACGACAGGAAGTCACAGCGCTTGTGGATCAGAGGGAGATTTGCCACCATGCGACTTTGATACCACGACGGTGGTGGGTACTGGTGCTGGTTTACCCTTAGCTAGGCTTCCTGATGAAAACACCGGACTTCTTCTCAGCTTAGGAGACCCTGCCGTGGGTACGAATCTCCCCGCTGTACTTCGCAGTCCGACACCCAGGAACGCCTCCCAGCCATGATGAGGCGGTAAACAGTTGGAAGGAACATGGTAGTACATGAATACGAAATCGTAGAACTGCATCTTCAAAAAGAAAGTGGGTTTAGAATACCATGATAATAGGTGAACAATGCAGAATGGATGTTAGAGGAATGTGCGATTACTAATGTATTGAATAATCATCAAAATTTATAAAGGCTACAAAAAAGAAACCAGTGGTATTTTTTCGCGCTCTTCAACAGCAAAGTTGTAGGCGATAAAATTGCTTTAACGATAATATAAGAAAAACTGGACCTGGATCTTCTTCGGGTTTCTGAAGTGTAGAGAAAATCCGCTTTTCTTAAATACTCAGTGATGGAGTTTAGAATTTGTCACTTTCATAACCCTCATTGACATGCATTTTTTAACTTTTGAATTGATGCAGTAAAAAGTGGTGATTCCAAACAGGAACTTCCGACTAATTCAAGTTCTGTTTGATGCTTTGTTACTTTGTAATCTTAACGATTTCTTTTCCAATTTTCTATTCAACAAAAATCAAAAAAAGGCCCTAACTTTCGTAGTTTCACCACAATTTTACTTCTTAAAATAGGTTTTCAGTTAGCTAAGAGACAGGCGAAACGAAGGACTCGTATGGTGTAGTGGTGAGCGCATTAGCCGAAGAGAAAGGGTAATAGCGCGTTTGTTCCCCACCCCACCGCAAACACCCGTGGTCCGGAGTTTGCAAATAGCATCAGTGCGGTTAAGATTTTAGGTTTTTAACTTAGCCATGGCGAAAGTGTAACACCATTTATTTTAATGTTTCTATAGTGCTGAGATATTTGCAAAACTCCGGACAGCAAGTATCTGCGGTGGGGAACGAACGCGCTAGTATCCTTTGCGGGAGTAACGCGTTCACGATCACACCATGCAGGTCTTTCGTTTCGCCTGTCTCTCAGCTAGTTCTATCGATCACTACCATCAGCATTCATCCGATTTTGGCTCTCCAGATCAATCCCGTTGACGGATGACTGCTGATGGCGCTGGTAGGTAGAAAACTGGCCGAGAAGAACGCAGAGCAACGACCTCCATGGTATAATATGTAATGCGAGAGCCCACGGAAATGGAAACCGTGGTTCGATCTGGCCCGGAATCCAAGTTTTGCGAATGGCTCAGCATCGTTGTGGTTGGCATCGTCATGATTTGAAGAAGTACCAATGATTCGAAGAAAATGCTTAACGGACTCAATGAAGCAGAAAAAATGACTGGACTGCCAAAAAATAACAAAGACCCGGTTCACGAAGAACCCATGTTGCGAAGGCGAACAAACCGAACTGAGTGGTTCATTGATCACAGTGAGCATTCCTACGTGTACCTTGGAAGTTCAATGAACATGGAAAACAATATGGAGAAATTAAATAGAAGAGAGGCGGCAAGGGCCACATTCGGGCCTCTCTAAGAAGCCACAGACCAACTGGCAGACACAAAACTCCGCGTTCACTTTCCAACACAACAGTCCTCCCTGCGCTCTGCTATGCAGCAGAAACATAGACCAATACGTTGACCATGTCCTGTGCTCCACCCAAGAAGCGCTTAAACGATGTATTTTGACACTCAACCGGAACTCATGACTTCAAGCCCTAATGCGCAGCTCAGATCTTCGAGGCCTGTCTTACTTATGGCATCCAGAAGAACATACGTCGATAGTGATGCGCAGGTGTGCCGGTCGTGTATGAAGAAGAACAGATGACCGATAGACGAAAAGAGCAGTGAAGAGAACTCCAAGAGAATGAAAACATCCTCTTGGAAGACAAAACAAACGACGTGCCGACGTGTTAGTGGATAACGTAAGGCCTCGGCATTCGTCGCAAACAACGTCACCATGTGCGAAGCAGACCACTACCACGGACGACTACGCGAGAGAGAAACGAGTAGAAATTGAGCTAGGCTCGATTTAATAGTGAAGACGGCCACACAAGTATCCAGGCATGTAAGAGAACACCTACACGGTAAACTTAGACAACACACTCCAGTGGTCAGGCATAGGACATAAAGACCTAACGGGGAAATTTTCGAAATAAAGATCACTATCCTTGCACACAATCTAAAACAACTGCATGCGAAACTCTCGAAGCATTTCAGATAAATTTCAAAAACCCAGAAATGAACCACAACAAAGAGATGATGATCACGATCTTTGTGATCACGCGTGACCTTGCTGTACATCCAGCGCGGATTTCTTGACCTGAGACACATTCTCCACTCATGTAAAACTACGCGTTTGCTCATCAACAACAACAAGAATAAGTGGAAGACCCAAAGAAAACGGTGAATGTCTGAAGAAACTGCTTCCCACGCAAGTTTTCTATTGAGGTTATGTAAGTTTTTTGGCGGTGGATCATCAACTTAATGAGTTTGCGTTTTACATGAGTTTTGTTATAATTTCCATGAGGTCAAGGCTAATCGAAATCATTGGAAACAAAGGCGTTTCGGACCAACTCAAAAAGCTGAAACCGCAGGAATAAATGTCTTTTGGCCGCAATGGCGTCGTCTCATATCTCAAATTAATTTTTCGGCGTAACACAGGCATATCTTCTTCATCCGATGTGAACTCTATGCAGGTGATTTCAGCTAATAAAAAGGTACCCATCATACAAAAAAGCACTGTATATTTGGAAACTTTTTTTGCTAAATACAGAAAACGCAATTTAAAGCTCAAAATTTAGTTCAAAGACTTACAAAAATAATAGTGCTGCCAACGTACTTTGTTGGTATACCATGTCAGAGACTTTCAGTCGGAATTGATCGATACGTTAACCACTGAGGAGTAAATGATATATTAGTGATATAGTAATAACCTCATAAAAGATAAAAAAGACGAAACATTCAGCTCTGAACGATACCCTATGGTGTCCCGCGCATTTAGTTCCACTTACACGATGGTGATTAAACGCATATTTTGCCTACACAAGGATGCCCTGTGGTCCACTGAATAATCACATTAGTGCCTTTATCCTCTCAGAGAAATGTCGCGCCAATTTGTACGCAAAAGTGTGGTGGATTTGGTCGACCTGTGCGGTGTGTCGAACCAATAACCATCTCTCTACTGCAAGCCACCGCTAACGTCTGCGCTATACAGATCCTCAATAAAAATAATAATAATGCCACATTTCTTGTCAACGATAACCTTAATTCTGTCGTTATACGAAGACATGGAATTATATTTTTTTTTATTTCAAAGCGACCACTTAAACCTCTGATACATATCGATGGTTGGTTTAACGCGCTCATTTACAGCTAGAAATTACAGAATGAAAAATCCTGACAAATCAAAATTTACATTGTAAAGAGAGTAGAACCTATGTGTTTGAGCATCTGACTTCGCAATTACCGCAACAAGAGATTTACGAAATTCAGGAAGGGATGAAGAGTGGCTGAGAGCAGTAAGGAAAAAAACAACGATGAAAGCGGCACAATCAGCAGAACACCGGCGATGGTAGACGGAAAAGTCGTAAAAATAATAGTAATAGTAATAATAAAACATACAACGCATAACAATGAATAACTAACTAGTTTACTAATACACAATAAGGTGACTGAGGAACCCGTAGACCAAATCTCCTGCTGGAACACAGGGGCGGTTAGCAGAAAGATAGGGGGACGAGGAGCAGAAGCACAGTAACGTTAAACAATGTACAAATACGTAGAAGGAAATCTCAAGTGATATCACTGCATCAATTGTGAATTCTTACTGAGGCACTACAAACAGCAGCGACGGTTACGACGATTACAAAACGTCACTGGTACTCCGCACCGAAGTCTGGGATGTTCACATCGCGATAGCCTTTCAACCAGTATGTTGTCAATCGACCTTTACCTTTCATTTCAACTTCACCTCTCAGTTCTAGTCGGAAACCCGTATCTTTACTTAAAATCTCCTTTGTCACAGATGAAACATGAATCCGAAGCGCTGAAAAGTGAACAACCTTATGCGTTAAGGAAGAGATAAGATACTCTATAGCTAGGATAAAAAACACATGAATTACTAACGTAATCCGTTGCTTTCCATACGACTCGATGTGTTCACAGTGTCACCAAAAAGGCAATATCGTGGCATTTTCGATCCGACAACACCAGCGACCACGGAGCCGGAATGCATGCCAATGCGCAGCTTCAACTGATCGTTCGGTCGATGTCGGATCACAAAGTTCTTCACCTTATGCAACAAGGCCAAGCTCATCTGTGCAATCTGTGACGCATGATCGTCCCTTCGTTCCGGAAGACCTGAGACCACCATGTAGGCATCACCTGGAAATTGTAAAAGTCTCAAATAACACCCAAACACACTACATACACTGCGAGCACTGGCTGGTCGAACTCATACGAAGTCGTTAATTCTGATAAAACTAAAAAAGCTATAGAATTACGGTGTGGATCGTTATCAATGTTACTGTAAGAAAAACAAAGATCATCATACTATATTAAAGCGCTATTTAAAGAAAAACTCACCTATAGTTTCTACTTTGTAAACTTTGAAGTTATCTACAACACCATCAAAGGCTAGATATAAGTCGTTGAGAAGTGTGACAACCTTAACAACACTAGCGTTGACGTCATTATGAACTATTCATGAAAAACCAACGTACTTGCAAAGGTGTGGATTGCGAAGAGAGGGCGGTAAAACCGACAATGTCAGAGAAGTAGATTGTGACCGAATCATACGATTCTGCTTGTACTGCTTTACCAGAAATTAGCTGAAATCAACGATAAAAAACGCACCACGTTCCGTAATAGCGCTACAATACAGTATTGTTCTGCTATGATTAACGGATTGAGCAAGGCTATTAGAATTAATTGTTGGAAGTTGTTTAAGAGACTTCTATGATTTTAAGCTGTAAACTGACGAATCGGTGATAAGTAGTCACTAACGGCTCACTTGATCAGCAATAGAAGGTGGCAACAGTTGGTGAAGAAGATCTTCGACTTTCTGCTTCTCTGCAAGGTATTCACGTGTTCGTTCCTCTACGAGGCCTTCGAGATTTTTCGCGTATAATTCAAGACGCTTTAGGAGATTGTCGACCAGATTTGAAGTTTCGTTATCCCTGTACATAGGAATGAATAGATGAGAAATATAAAAGAAAGCTAAGTAAAATGGGTACTACAAAAAGCGTAAACTCACTTATTAAGCATACGAACCGCCTTTCGTATCATTGAGATATCTGGCCGTTCATGGTAATTTTCAGCCCATGAACAACGCATCAATTCCAGTAAACTCTGAAAGAGGAGAAAACCTAATAACAAACGGGTAGTTTAAATGTTAAAGCAGAGAGGACACTACAATACTTCAGTAGCACTTTTTAACAGTACAAGTTGTAAAGTAAATTACCTGGTTAATCTCGTCGTCCGCGTCCAAACTATCTGGTACATACGGTCGGAAAACATCGTCTGGATTGGCCACCGGCTTCCTTACACGTTGGACGATCTCTGAAATATAATATCAAAGATAAAATTAAATATGAACAATATAAGAATTTGAAGAGCAACTGTATATCCCTCAGCAAAGAAGAAACTGCTCTCTATACTACTCTCTGAAGAGTAACTCTCAGGTAGAGGAAAACATTCAGTACAACAAGTTAAGGTACTCCATTATGATCACTCCAGAACTCAACGCGACGCAATTCGATGAATTACTACCTAGTACTGGACATTTGTCAATGTTTCCACCTTTAGGTACTTATTACGCTCAAACGGTAAAAACACTAGCAAACGTTCATGCGATAAGTATAAACGCTACATCGTCTGTATCAGCCATTTATATATAAGCACAAATGATATTTCTTTCACTAACAATCAGAGTCTAAAGCTGAACCAGAGTCTTCAGAACACTTCAAACTTCAAAACACGACAGGCTTAAAGAGGAGACTGCCCTATTTATTCAGTTTTTGATTATAACTTTTCGAAAACGGTACTTTGCTCCTAAATAGTCCTCTACGGCAAATCTCCAAAAACTTGGAAAAGAAATTAAGATATCTAAAATCCTTAGTACAAGCGATACAGATGCAAACATCAACGACACATTCGTGGAGATCCTTTAAATGAAATCTCGCTCGAGAAATTTGCTTTCATGTTGGAAATACCAATCCTAACGAAGAAAAGTGAAAGAAATACGTTTCGTGGACTAAAGAAAAAAAAATCTTATCGTTGTACAATGAGAGTATTTGTATTCTAGATCATAGTATTTCTAGTGCACCCAGTAAACTCTAGTATAGGCTACGATGTTGGTTATAGCTGGAAGCAGCAATTATTTTTACATTGTATGAGCTGAAATAAATTCATGTCGGAGCCTAGGTGCTATAGTCAGACTTAGAACGAAGTTTATAGCTTTAAGCAACTTTTACCTCAAAAAAAAAACAATAAACACTAGCTCTCACCGTACGGTGAAAGGTTCTCGTTCTTGCACGGAAATACGCCTTTTCGCCAGAGCACTTCATGAAGAATAATTGCAAACGAATAGATATCGCCCTTCTGCGTCCCCATTGGTGGTGGATTTGGATTTCGTAGCAATTCTGGTGCAGTCCAGAGTAATTCTGAAAGATTATTGTAAAATACAAATTAGAACACTATATACATAACAAAAAAATAAGCGCTGAAGATCCAGTACAAGGATTTGATTTGCTGTGATACCTACTTTTATAGAAAGCATGCTCTCCAATATCATCTACTGTGTTTTCTTCCATCGCATGAAGACCATGCAGACCAAAGTCAGTGACCTAAGAAATACAGAGGCGATTTAAAAGTGACAATAAAGGCGACAAGTAGAAAATTAATAAGAATGACCTCATAAAGAAGTCACAGAAAAAAAGTTAAGCATTCTTAGTCAAATGAAAAACAGGTGATATGTAAGACTGGCAGCTATCAAAATAGAAGACTTTGAAAACAAAGGAGAAGAACGGCTAGAAGAATAAACGTTACTTTAAGGACAAATCGACTGTCCACCACGCAATTGGACGACTTCAATCGGCCGTGTGATCGGATTTCACTATTATGAAGAAAATACAATCCCTGAAAAAAGAAAACAACGTCACAAGTCCGAATTAAAAAAGGGCGTTAACACAACCTATACCATGATAGTAGAAATCGATACAAAATGCCATGATCTCTCTACTTAAAGGTAAATGAGTTAGAACACCGGTACCGTATCTTAAGGCATGAGACCTCGATAGGATACAAAACAAGACGCACAAGAACTGAGAGAAAAGGTCCGTTCCCTTTTATGTTAAAAACGAAAAACTTAATAAAGCAACATCGATCTGTAGGACCAGTGGACATAATCAGCAACAAATTCTTCAAGCGAAAGTAAAGAATTCTACAAGTAAATTAGCGCGTCCAAAAACGTCTTCGTACCTTGACCAGATCGTGTAGTAGTGAGTACTTCATCATGTTGTCGAGTTTGATCTGATCGTTCTCGAGAATATCTTCAAGCGAACCCTTCGGACAATATTCGGTCACAATACACCAATGAGGCGCGTCGAGACAAGCACCAGTGAATCTAAGAAAAAGGCAACGCTCAAAAACAGCATTGACTTGGACTCCTTTTAAAAAATTTCACTAAAAACTCTAAATTCAAAACGAAACAGTAAGAAGCGTATTCACGAATCATAAATAGATTAAAGAAATTTAAACTACTGATGTGATAGAGCCAATACCATTCTATAAGTGTGCTTTGGTTGTTTAAGTTCACAAAACATTATAGACGAAAGTCAAAAAAAACAAGCATTATACCGAAGGTACATACCAACGGTTTACTGCCTCATCGTGGCTGCAAAGCTTTCCTGGGTGTCATGTTGCGATGTAGTGCGAGGGATTCCTCCCCCGGTAGGGTCTCCCAAGCTGAGGAGTCCGGCGTCTCCATCAGGAACCTTAGCTAAGAGTAAACCAATATCAGGATCCACCACCGTCTTTGTGTGAAACTAGACGCATGGTGGCAAATCTCCCACTGGACCACAAGGCCGGCGAGTACCTGTAGTGGTGACAACCTGGGAAAGACTTTGGCCAGGCTGACCTTGGAACTCCAGGTGACCACAATAGACCAGCAAAACTCCGAAAAAAGGAATTATGCTGGGACCCGCACAACCAGTGGAGACGGGCCATCCAAGTATAGCGAATGTGAAAAAGAAGTCAAATATAAAAAGTAAAAAGGCAACCAAAGAGGATAACTTGTAAACAGTAAAGAAACAAACCTTGTGACATGATCATGTTGAAGATCTTTCATTTTTTTAAGTTCCATCAATTGCGCTCTTGACAAGTCCAATTTAGGATATTTTTTCTGATCGATGTTCAATTTCTTGATGGCCACCATTATTCCCTGTATAACACGGATCTCTACATCAATCAACAGAAGAGAAATAGGGTACACCGTTTCTACGACGTGCCTTTGCACAGCTGACACGAGGCTGTTAACAAGAATGGCAGGGTTTTTACTATCCTATGGGAAAATCATACGAGTGGTCGCACTCCATTAAAAAATCAAAACAATTCTGAAGAACGCGGAGCGATCGAAACGGTAACCATCGAAGACCGAAAACAGGTGTTAGCAAACGCCGTCAGCTGACCAAAGGCAGTTCGCAAAGTGAAAATAACTTGATTATCTCTTCGAAAACCGACAATTATTTAATCCAGGTGTAGAAGCTAAATGGAAGTCGGTCTCTTGGGAGGAGAAACATTTCATCAAGTGTTAATTTTCGATAAAGGAGAAAAAACTGAAAACCTTGTAAAATGCAGTCTTCGTGTATATTTGTCCATTGTTTTGTGCGATTGTCTCCGCAGAGCCACCGCTCTGAAGGTGTTTCTTAGATTATGTCGAGGTAGTAAGACAATCCACACAAAAGAAACCCGCTATGTTCAGTGCAAGCAATGAATGATATGATACTCAAAAGCGCTAAGTGCTTTGAGCGCAAAAAAAGTGCTATCGTGTAGACTTAATTAGAAAAACGAGGAAAAATTGTCTAACTGTTTTACGATTTTACCATCAAGGGCTAAAATTTTATCCTGATTCATGTATTTAGCACAACTTATTTCCAATAACAATAATAAACACCTTGATCGAGCCGAAAAACGAAAGCTTCCGATTCCGCAAACTGAGGCTCTTCTTTGCTATGATATCAAAATCTTCTTCCCCACTGCTCTTCTTTTTACAATCTATAAATATCAAAAACGGTCAAAAAACCTTCCCATGTTCTACAAATATCGAAAAAAAACTGGGCGATCGAAGTATACATTTCAAATAATTATGTAATTTCTGGTCATCTACAAATGTATAAGGGATAAAGGATAAAACTGTCAGCATTGAGCAATCCTTGGTAGATGCATCATGCACTCGACTTCATTAAGTACCGTCAGAGGTGACTCAATGCATATCTGGCCTTTACAATGACTCGAGGTGGCCTACCGATGTATCGAGCCAGTGCTGCTACCCTCCCAGACAAGTCTGGTGACAATTTGCCCAGTCCGGAGGGTCTGAACGCTTGGTGAGCCTTAGGAGCGGGTATCGTTCCACAGTGTATTGCAGGGCGCCTCCGAGCACTGAGCTACACGTGCCACTACCAAGGTATAAGTGACTAGATGGTGATATGATCCAGATGATGTCCATTTTACATTTGAAACACTCATGAAAAATAATGAACAGCAACAGTACGTACCACTTATATCACAGGAAAGCATATGAAATAGAAATACAGAAACACCCACATACCTGAATCCCCTGATGGAGAAGAAATAAGGGGATTTTCTGGCATGTGAAAATGCACCTCATTCATCGGCGAACATTCTCCGGACTAAAAAAGTTTGCAGAAATTCGACCTACTACAGCGTTTCTTTAATTTCAACAATTTAGAGTTCCAATAATAAAAAAAATTTCAACAATAAACTAACAATTTCACTGAAAATAACAACCTCAATAGCTTTGAGAGAATTTGCATGATTTCCAGTGAGGCCACCGTTTTTGTCCTGATTCAGAGAGCTTTTCTTTCTAGTGAATATACTGAATTTTCTGTCAATCATTGCAGAGATTTTTCTTGTAGTACCAGAACTAGATGAGCGCTGAAAACGGCTGCATTGACGCGATCAACAACCATCATCGAATTTGCAGAAGATGAGAAAAAACACGTCCACAAGACTGCAATAGCACTAATGAACAGTGGAGAACAGTGGAAACTGGCTGCATTTTGGTGTTAACGATCTGACTGAACCTCTTACAAGTGGACAGGTTTTTATAAAATATGCTTTAGCTAGTTTTCTATTCTAGAAAGAACTAGCTGACAGAAACGCGAAGCATGGGCCGCCGTGGTGCATTGTGTAAAGCGCGAGCTCCCGAAAAGGGTAATCGTGGTACGATTTGGCCCGGGTCGGTCCAAGTTTTGAGAATATTTCATCGTTGTGGTTGTATCTCACATCACATCTTGCTGTGAAGAATTGTAGTATGTAGAAAATAAAAGGTTAACATTGTGCTTTAGCTTTTGCATTCTTCGCATCCTTTCCATGGCAGAGTACGATGTGGAATGGAACCATAGAGAATTCTATGAAATAATTTGGAAACTTCACTCCTAGATGATTAAGCTAAGCTATCAGATGGTTAGATTCCCATGGATGTGGGAATAAAGACTATCGGCAAAGAATAGTCAATAAGCAAAAACATCCTAATGTAAAGAAATGATCAGCAATCACAAAACTGAATTCGCTCTGCCTTATATTAGGTCCACTCTACCCAAAAGTCCATTCAGACTACTCATGTTTCGCAAGCAACCAACTTTATAAAATATCTATCTTCAGAACGATGACCGAAATCACTACAAAAAAGCCCTGTAGACTAACGCTATCAATAGAGGAAAGTGTAACCAGCTTGGTCAACTGCTGATAGACAACTCAGATTCACGGCAAACGGTCTTCACGACTCTGAGCAAATGAGGTCAAAATGGAATCAACACTAAAGCATTTAAGATAAAGCATCTGCCGATGATCCAGTTTCATGCGTCTTGTATTCGATTTCATTAACACATAAAGACTGAGATGAGTGGAATTCCACTCATACATGGATCATCACCACGATTGACATGGATAGGAATCTACTCATCCTCTTTGCTGCCGTTTACGTCGTCTAATAAATGTTGTTTTTAAAGTATTGGGGGGAGTTTAATATGTAGAAAGCCCGAACTTCCAAATTACCAAAAGAAAATGAATAAAAACTGAACTTTAAAGAGAAAAACACAATAAAAGGGCGTGGCTGCCTGATATGCAGTTTATAATGATCGGGTGTGAGTTAGATGTTCAAGTGGATCCATCGAAAACTAAACATTGAATAGATGCGTCGGCCATGTGGACCTTGGTGTTGGTCTTCATGTTTCAAACACGTAGACGAGTTCGAGTAGACGTGACTGAATGCATAAAAAATGACAGAGCTTTCGGCATTTATCAGTCCTTGGGAGATGCGCCACGCATTCGGCCTCATTTACCATGGTTGGGTGTGAGTGAATTTATCTATCTACCAATTTTCCGACCCCGGATGGATAAACAACTTGTTGGGCCTTCGCCGTGTGGATCACTTCCGTGGACATTGCAGGGCGCTTCCGACCACCGCGCCACGTGCGCCCTCTAGTTGAATGCATACTTGATCAATATATTGACTTACGAGAGCATAACCGGAAAGATGGACGGCTTTATTTGGCCGTGGCCCAGAATTAAACTAACGACCATGCGCGCATTGCAAGGTACCCTGAGGATCACGCTTGATATGCCCTTCAAGAAGGACGTGTATAGCACAATGGTCGGAGGTGCTCTGCAATACACATGGGACCGATCCCCGCTCCCAAAGCTCACCAAGCATTCCATCCCTCCATGGTTGGCAAATCGGTGCCAGACTTGTCTGGTAGGATAGCAGCACTGGTTCGAAACATCGATAGGCCACTTCGAGTTATTGTACCAACTATACATTCAGTCACCTCCAAACGATGCTTAATGAAGTCGAATGCATGGCGCATCCTTTAGGGATTGATCAACGCTGTGAGCTCTATTCTTTTTAGTTCATGCGCCTTAAGAAATACCACGACTTAAAATTGTAACGAATAGAAAATTATATGTTTCCAAGAGCTCAACCAACTAAAGAATGGATTGCAGCCGCCATCGTAACAAAACACAGAGTTAAAACAAAACACATTAAAAACATACCAAACGCAATCGCATAGCCAGTGAGGGTAGTATGTCGTCACTGTGCTGAAATTAGCCGCAAAGCGTCCAAAATTCAAAAGGAACACACTAATCCCAAATTATGGATGTCACATGTATAGATTTCACGTGGTTTTCGTGTTAATAGGACAAAAACAAATGTTATTTGCATAGTGGCAACGATCGAAAGCTAACTCTAAAGCAAAATCGGTTCGAACCCTTGCAAAAGTGAACGATTAGACAAAACATACCCACAACAGCATCACAGATATCACACACGCTACAAAAATTCCCGCATAGGTAAACATCATAGGTAAACATTTATCTCAAGACGTCGCTCACCTTGTCGCTGCTCACGCTGCCACCACGTGAGTTCGAACGTAAGAGTGGATAGGACTCGAAGAAATTGCCACCCGATCGCTTTTTCTTTGCTTTCTTCTTCTCTTTCCTTTGTGATTCTTCACCATCGAGTTCCTCCCATCGAATCTTCCATGACATTGCCGCTAATTCTTGTTCCAATTTGTATCGCCTTTAACAATCGCACAGACATAAAATTAAAGTGAAAGAAACAAACCGTGCCTAAACTTCCTAAAAGCCGAAAAGCTTGAACAAATAGGCTATCCACTAGTTTTGTAAAAGAACACACGGCTCCTTACCGAATAGAGCAAATTCACCACGTGCTTACCTCCAGAAGAACACAAACAACAGAGTTAGTAACATTATCAGACCAGCAGAAGCAGCTAATAGGTAAACGTGAAGAGGGTAACCCTAAACACCGCACATTCTTTGATTACAGGAACAGAAAAGTTCTTTCCAAAGTTGTATAACTCAATGACGGTCATGTTCTCGTCAATGTATAGACACAAAATCACAGATTTCAATAGCATAGAACGAGGACCAAGGCTAACAATGTGGAAACTAAATTCCCAGCTCTTCAGATTTTGTTCGAAATGTTCGAAATACACATTAGAACAGTGCAAAAAAAGTGAACAAATTTGACAACAAAAGCAAAATTAGGAAGGCTTCGGGTCAAGTCTCCTATCACAACGAAGAAACGCAGAAAAATTCCGTCCGGAACTCAAACACAAAGACATTTATTTTAAAAAAATAGTGATAGAGGACAAAAAATAAAGACAGGATCACCCAATATCAGATTAACATGGACAGCGCAAATTGTGTTAAATGAATGCTCACCTTGGGACATTTACTATTGTCGTAACCGCAAATGGGTGAATCTCGTGGTGGTTTACCGCCTATCCAGTGGAAATCGGTCACCTTCTTCAGCTCATTTGACGCTCCCGAGTAGTATGCAACTTCCTGAACTGTCTTTCTTCTACAGAACAAACCTGATATGCTTTGATTGCAATCCCAAAAAATTTATCTTGAACCTTCACCAATTTTCAAAGCACACGATACAACCCTTAGGCTACACAGATAAGGTTATCCCAAAAGATATATAGGCAGCATTGTTTTGATGGCTTAAGTTTGACTGAACAAAGCACCTCAGTGGTAATGAATACGTTAGAGTGTCTTCATTTTTAATTACAGACTATACGAGCAAAACTCGCAACTCCAGGTAAGCCCCGAACCCGCGATTACGCTCAACGCGGACCCATGTGCTATCCGCTATACCAATAAAGGCCATTGTTTTGCCTTTCCTTCAGCTAGTTTTTTTTTCTTACTGAGAAAGAATATATATCTCTACCAAAGATTAAGGACTTTTGTTTCTTTCCTGAGCAAAGCAGGCCCCTCTGTTGGTGTGATGGACATCACGAGAGCCCCTGGTAAGAGTAACTGCGGATTCGAAGGAAGCCCAACCGAGGTTCCGAATCTCGCGCATGTTTCAGCATCCTTGCAGTTGAATATATCACAAAAGTCTTTGAAAAATAGTTACGGGTTTTACACAAAAACACACCACAAATTTATCCACAGCAGGATCGAGATCGAGCAAGGAGTAGTCTGAATATCGATCGCCGTTCGCGTCAATCGACACGTTACCCGTGATGCCTGAATGGAGAAGACGTCGTAAACGACCCATGAAGATAGGACTAGTGCTATTGACGGATAACAGAAGCAAAATTTCTGAATGCTCACCATCGAACGTTCGTCCCCACATCTTGCTAGTAATGCTGTGCCCATTCCGTGGATCCATTCCGGCTGTGATCGTCTCGTTCAAAGCGATTGCGTATAGTAAAACTGCATCGTAGAACGCGCTTATAAAGTTGTTCATCTGAAATACAAAAATTCTTGAAGATACAAGAGAATCACCAGCGGTTAATATTCCATTTCATTTGGTTCTCAAATGGATGCAAAATGTCGCTGAACGAAATTTTCATAAAGAACTTAAAACAATCACGTTAAAAATAAGCTGCCGTTTTGAACACAGGAATTCTTCCCCATAATGTTCAAATAAGAAGAGATCAAAGCAAAGCTACTGAGATCAACAAATATTCTTTCCAAAAGATGTGAAACAGTTTAAAAGATAGCACGTAGTTACTTACTTCGATTGCTTGAATGGCCCGTCTTCACTGGTTGTGCGGCCCCCGGCATAAGTTTTGCTAGTTTTGCCGTTATGGTTCCGTGGAGTCCCGAGATCAGCCTAGCCAAAGTCTGCCTGGGGTTGTCACCACCACGGACAGTCACAACCCCCATGGATCAGAGGGGGATTTACCATCATGCGACTTTGATACCAGGACGGTGGTGGATCCCGGTATTGGATTACCACTAGACGGGTTTCTTGATGGCAACGCCGGACCTCTTCTCAGTTTGGGAGGCTGTGTTGAGGGGATGAATCCCCCTGGTACCTCACAGCCCGACAACCAGGAACAGTTCTCAGCCATGATGAGGCGGTAAACCGTTAGGAGGGTACATAAGTACTAGTAGTACGAAAGCAATAGTACATTATTACTTTAATAACTGCCTTCTTCATCTAATTCTCTCTGCCATAAAGGTGTTACTATTCCTTTAACTACAAATTTAAAAACATCATAAATTGAAAAAAAAACAAAAAAAAAATTTTTAAAAAGAGTATAGAAAACAATTACCTCGTATTCCTTGCCGGTAATCTTTGAGTAGTCATACTTCTCTTCTGCTCTAATTTTTACCCGCGTCTCAAAGTTTTTGTACTCCTCCAAGTCGCTCCTGAAAGATTGTATTTCTTCGTATTTTTGTTGAGCAAACGCGAGGTGTTACCTTTATTCTTTATTCACGAATAAACTGACGTTTCGGCGGATTTCGCCTTCCTCAGAGCCACTTTCTATGAGGCTTCCACTGAGTATGTCGCGTGAAGACCAATCGCACAGAATTCACATGGAAGCGTAATGTACACCTCCCATCAGAATAACAGGCTTGTATAATGCCCTTGTGTCCGCATAAAAGAACACCTAGTCGGCAAACGTAAAGCAAATATCCCACTAGGCACGCATAGGACCCAGAGACATAATGGGGAGGACTTTGAAGTATGTGTCACGATCCTCGCACAAGAATCGAGAACACAAGCGCGCAAAACTCTCGAGACGTTCTGGATTAATTCCAGAAATCCGAAAATGAACAGCACGGAAGAATGCCTCACTAACACGCGTGATATTGGGCAGTATATAAGATTGTTGTTCTGATGGGAGGGGCACATTACGCTTCCATGTGAATTCTGTGCGATTGGTCTTCACGCGACATACTCAGTGGAAGCCTCATAGAAAGCGGCTCTGAGGAAGGCGAAATCCGCCGAAACGTCAGCTTATTCGTGAAAGTAGCACCTCGCGTTTGCTCAACAAGAATACGAAGAATTACAGACCAATGCCGAGGTTAATAGAAAGTCGGTCGTGGGATTGCATTTCTGTTTCTGAGGGCAGAAAATTCGAAAATCACCATCGATATAAGAGAACATGAAGAACCAAAACTCTCGAAAGCGTTACTTTTTCGATGGAGCTACTGTATATGTTTTCAATGTATATCATATCACTTCTAATACCTTATTCATCACAATGTTCACAAAGTAACGGTGTCTTGAAGATAGCTAAAAAATGAAAGCCTAGAAAAGAACGAGATCCCCTTCAAACTGTCTTAGACATCGACCACATTCGTGGTAGGCGCAGAATGCAGTACTTTATGCTATAGATATATTCTAGTGGTCCAGATTACTACACAAGTGCCACCTTACTCCGCATTACTCGGATTGCAACCACTAAAAGCAGTTGACAGTTCGTCTCTGTACGGTAACGGCATCACCACTAAGCAGCGGAAGATAAAAAAGAGTAGAGGCTAAGGGTCTCCGCGTCGATCAATCCCTGAGAGATGCGTCATGCATTCGACTGAACTATCGCTGGAGGCGATTGAATGCACATGTGGCCTTTGTAATGTCTCGCGGTGGCCTACCGATGTATCGAGCCAGTGCTGCTACTCCTCGAAACAAGTTTGGCATAGCCCGGAGGGATGGAAGGCTTGATGAACCTGTGGCGCGTGAAACAATCCCATTTGTATTGCAGGGCGCCCCCGACCGCTATGTTACACGCACCCGTTAATGGGAGATTAGAGACTTAAAACTGTATGAGCATTCTGTTGTTCATTTCTCTTACCAGTCTAATCGCTCTTAATACCAACTTTTGGGTATGTAAAATTTTTACAAAACTGCCGTTATGCCAGTCACATATACGTTTCTCGTCGGTTAAATCCGTTGAACAAGAGCCAACTCAAAAACGAAATTTCTTTATAACGTTCCATGTGCATTCATGGAATTCTTTCACGAGCTGGAGTTGACGGAGCGACTTCCAGTGACAATCTGCTGATAATCATCTTCGACAATGTTGTCGACTTCGTCACTCAAGATGAACAAGAGGATGAAGGTGGAAAAAAATTGGGACAAAGTTAAACAGCAAGAAACGGAGCACAAGGCCAACATTCAGGATCAGCAAGTCAACTATTTTGGCTACAACAGCGCAGTTCAAAAAGAAACTGTTTATAACACTGTGAAACGCCATGTTTTCACAGCCTTGGCGAAACGTATTGTTATTAATATTATTATTATTATTATTGCCAGTATTATCATTATGACTACCATTTTATTGTCAGCTCATACTTCAGAATCTTGCTATTGTATTTCACATACCACCCTGCCATCGAAAAAGAATACACAGTTATTACACAGTTATAATCTTAAAAGTTGGGACATCATGATTCTGATTGCAGCTTCAGTTGAACTGGGTTCAATGCCAATTTGTGTTCCCCAAATCAATCCTACTGATGGGTGATTGTTGATAGCACAGTTCGAGCAGAAAAATGGATGAGAGGAAGGCAAAGCAAAGCTCTAGATTGGTGTAGTGGACAGCAGGTGAGAATCCTGTAAGGGCAATCGCGCGTTCGAGGCACAATCGAAGTTCCGAGTTTTGTCCATATTTCAGGATCCTTGTTATCCTTACTGTTATTAACATTATTATTTGTGTTGTTGTTGCCATTACTATTACCACTAATTTTTTATTTGTTTTACTTTGTACGACCCATCTTTCACATCTGTAGTGCGTACTCCAACACTTCCAACGTTCGATTCGTTTTCCATCACCCATGGAGGTCCTCCAACCCTTACGTGCACCTTCGGGTACTGCGTGAGGGTTTTCTTTTCATCTTGAATGTCGAAGAATTCTGGTCCAGTCGATTCTCCCTAATGTCCTCAGGTAGTGGGCTAGAGCGTTCCCATTTAGACTGCAGATAGTGGATTTTTCCCTGACAAGTCTGAAACCAATTTCTCGACCCCGGATGAGCGACTTGGTGAGCCCAGAGCAAGGTCGAACCAGCACCGTGCTCATGCTGATCGGCATTACTACCACTGTGCTATCCCCCATATTACCACTAATGTAATCATGGTTAACACCACTACTGTCAACTAATGATATTAATAATATCTCAGACATCTATTGCCACATATCTATGAAATGAAGTTGTGTAGTAGATAGAATGTGCTGACCACGTTCGAGAACATTCCACCACTAAACTACTACAAAATAACAAACTTCCAACGAGTGTGAACATTGGTCACGAAAGTTTTCTGAACTGAACTATGGATAGAAGGTTATGTAATACATTCGCAACGAAGCTGGTTTCCCGACAACAGGGAGAATTTTTCAACTAGTAGAGCATTTCAGGAGTTTATGACTTTATGGATGTACAGATGAGACTTCGATCTATCTCAATAATTGCACTATTATTTTAGCACAGCTTCCTTTCCAACTTAAACATGCTTGGAGCTAGGATTTTTAAAAAGGAGTTGCAAACATAAACGATATATTGCGGAACACCATTTTGTCCTGCTCGGTGGAATTCCGCCTCTTTATTCGCTCTAATTTTCGATTAATTGAGGTAAGAAGGTGTGCTGTCTTAGAAATATGTACATAAGGTGCGTACAGCGCAGTGATTAGTGGTGGTGTGCTACACACACGTGGTCTTTGGTTCGATCCCGCTCCCAAAGCTCACCAAGCATTCCGGCCATTTGGAGTCGGCAAACTGGTACCAGACTTGTCTGGAATGATAGCAGGACTGATTTGATACACCAGTAAAACATTTCAAGTCATTGCATAGATTAACTATACTACCAATGGCCTTCAATGATGGGGAATGAAATCGAATATATAACGCTTCATGAAAGCAGTGGTTGAATCAACTTGATCGATTTAAGCCGCAATGTAGTTGTAATGACCGATCTGTGATGAACTATTTAGCTTTATTTTATGTATTAACTGGTCAATGCAACGTACAGTATCGGGCAAATATAGTCCGGTATCATTATTGCAATGAATTCAAAGAAGAGACACCGACTACCACGACAACGGCTGATTAACACCTTCCTGACTAACCCTTCACCATTGTCCCTTAATCGCGAGTGGATATCACTCACGCCTTCGTTTTTTGCCAAACTTGATGAAGGGAATAGTGAGAACGAATCAATAAAAATGTATAGTGCCATCTGAAATGCAGTGCTGACACTTGGCACCATCAATCACAACGACGGTATGCACGACAAGTACGGCTGCCCCAGACGACATCCGTTTCATCGTCGTTCTCACATTTCCATTTCTCTCTTACGGTTTTTTTTTAAAAAAGGAAAATCACTGCAATATGTGATAAGATGCAAATCGGAATAAAAACTCACTTGTCAAAAACTCAACGCATATCACCTCTAGTCCTGTCAAATATCGAGTTACTAAACTGGACAGGCACCAAGAAACTCAACGGAAGCCGTTAGCTGACGATTTTAGTAGTTCTTACAGAGATTCCCAAAGCGAATACGTTTGAGAGATTGGACATGCTCTATCATCCTCGGTCGGTGGGTTAAGCACTCCGAAGAATAGCTATCGCATCGGAAGCTCCCAGACGCAAGGCAGCAGAGCCCCTTCGACACACGAGAGCCGATGACTGTTAGTAGTGAAGATCCGAAAACGCTCTAGTGTAGTTGTCTTGGGATCTTACAGAAAATATACGACCAGCATTGGAGACCAGTAGTGACGAAGGAAAGAAATCCACAGATCCTCAAACCGAATCCAGACCCATAAATAAACCCGACTACTTCCATGACGGCTACAAGACAATGAAACGAACGGAAAAATTGTTGGGGCTCGCGTGACACATAGACACAAACCATTCAGGCTAAACAAAATGGTGTATGTGTCGTTTTCTTGTTCAGTAATCGCGAGGTTTTTAAACAGCATACATTTACTTCCATAGAAAAACACAATACAATACAACGCTAGCTGACGTTTCGGCAGTATCGCCTTATTCAGAGCCTGGAAGGGTATACTGATATACAATCTACTAGGCCAAACGCTTCAATAACACTTGCGAAAAGAGGAAGAACTCTCCGGTAATTACATAATCAACAACTTCTTGAAAAAACCCACCGCTTTTTCGTGACTTCCAATGAGGAAGTTTAGAACAGCTGATTATAGTCGCATGTGGTTGACGACTGCACCATCCCACAGCAAAAATCGATGCGAACATACGGGATCAGGTCGCGTATGACCTCCGGACATTCATCTCTGCTATTCATGGTAGGGTTTCTGTTTTGTCGTCTTCTCTACGCAGGAGGAGATGGACAAA